AGTCATAAAAATTTGAACGACAGGAAGAAGACAAAGGATGTTGGAGAAAAAAATTGAAAAAAAAATTTCTAAAAAATAAAAAAGAAAGGAGAACGCTTTTTTAGTGCGTGACAACCCTCTCTTTTTTGTAAAAGCAAAAATTTTTATTTGAGTATTTTTTTAATTTTTTCAATATCAAATAAGGTGAAATAAACATCCGGACGCGCGAAATTCAATCATCAGAAAAAAATTTGAAATTGAGAGATGAAAATTTTTTTGTAAAAGCAATAAAGGGTTTGGATTTATATTTTTAGTTTGAAAATAAATTTATTTAAAAAAATTATAAGAATGGCAAAAATAATTTTTTTATTAAATTAACGGTTGGGTGCGTTAATGTTTGCGTGTGAACCTATAAATATCATAGGTTGTTAAATTTTCTATAAATAAAAACAGAATATAATTAAATATATATTTAAAAATCAGAATAAATTATTTATTTAAGAAAATAAAAATCTGAATTTTGAAAACATAATATAAACCAGAATAATTTAAAATCAGGATTTATATTTTAGAAAATAAGTAACATAATTATTCATATAAAATCAGAATTTAAAAAATCAGAATTGTATTATATTAACGTGTTTTTAAAATTCTTTAATTTTTCGGGATTATTTTTAAAAAATTATTTTCAGAATTTCTTTTTCAGAATTATTTTTTTGGGAATTATTTTTTTCAGAATATTATCTTTACAAAACACAAAAATCAGAATTAATATAAAATAAAATATTTAAGTCTTAATGTTGTAGCAACATCTAAAATTACATTTCTTTTTTTGTTTTTATTATATTCTGTTTTTAAATAAACAAAAGTTTTGCTTTTAAAGCTTCAAATAAAATCCTTAACTCAATTTAGGCAATATTGTCTTTTGCTATATTTTTTTTATTTATTTTTAAAACTTGCTTTCAATTTATCCTTTCCTCTCTTTCTCTTTTATCTTTACGGTCAAAGCACAAAAAAGGAAAAAAATAAATAAATTTCTAAAAAAAATCTCGAGGGAGCTTTTATAGCAAAAAAAGCTAATTTAGGCACAATGTTTTAAGGAAAAAAATATTTATTTAAAAAGAGAAGATTAAAAATAAATGAAAAAAAGGATTTGAATTAATAGGGAAGAAAAAAAGGTTGGAAAATAAAATAAAAAAATTTTTTTAATTGGTTTAGTAAGCAGAAAAAATTGTTTTAAGGCCTATAACTTTTTGATAAAATTAAATTATGTTTTATGTGTCATATGATAGGGAATAATGTGGGTTAATAAAATATAAAAAATGGGGAAATAATTTTGTGCTTCTGAAAAGTTTTTAATTTTTAAAATTAAGTTTGCTGTCGATTTTTGGATGTATGTTTTTTGAATGTTTTTGAAATATAACTTTTGTATAATTTGAGCTAAAGGATTGGTTTATATGTTAAAAGATAGAGGAGAATGTGAGCTACAAAATAGTAAAAGATTGAATTATTTGATAAATTTTCCGAAAAGTTGTGAATTTTTAAAGAGAGTTAGGTTGTTCGTGAGGTGGTTGCGCGTTTATTTATTCCAGGGATATTTTTTAAATCAAAATTCACGATTAAAATGAATTTAACTTAGAAATAAATTGATATTGGGAGAATTTGACGAAATAAAATTTCAATATTTTTAATCTTGGCAAAATTAATTTTTTTTTCTATTTTTCCAAATAGACGATTCTAGTACGTTTTTGGCCACATGAAAATGCCTTGGCTTTTTAGCTCTATATTTTAGTCCATTTTTTATGCCGGCCGTCCACTCTCCTTTTTAAGCTTTGTTGGTGCTTATTTTACAAAGCATTTCCTTCAATTATTTCCTTATATTTCCCCTTTTCAATCTTTCAATTGTTAGTTAGTGCCTTGTGTCCATCATTTCCGCCGGCTGCTTTTTCTAGCTTCAATTAGTGTTTGTGTGTGAATAGTTAGTTGAAATTAGAGTATTTTTTATTGACTGAGGAATTATTAAATATTATTTTGTTTATATCCCCTACAGATTTTGAGATATTTAATTTCATTTAAAAAATTTATAAGAGGAGAATCGGTTTTTATTTTTGGGGATATTAAGGAAAATTCTTCTTGAAGCTCCATTCTCTATTATTTTTTTTCATAGGATTTTTTATTATCACATTACCTCCTTTTCCTTCTCCTCTTGTTAATCTCAATTAATCTCAATTTTTAACCCTTAGCTAAAAAAAACTTTTTTTTCCTCGAAAACATTCCTCAAATAGTCACCCTTTCCAACGTCCAGTTTCTGCACTATTTCAAAGTAGCCAAAGCAATAAGGGGGAGAAGCAAAGGGTTAGTTAGTGCCTACTCTACCCGCACTCTTATAAAAATAGCCATGTGCCATTGGCCACTTTTCTCTCATTTTTTTTATTCTTTGTAGAGTAAAATCCATCGATCTTTAGATTAATTTGTTATAAATCTTAATTAGAAAACTGAAAAAAAATTTGTCAAATAAATGGGAGTGTTGGAAGAAAAAATCACTTTAAGGACTTGATTAAGCTTCTTCAAAAAATTTTTTTTTGTCGTCTAACTTTAAGTTACAGAAATTAGTTTTTATTAATTTTGTAGCAAATTTCAAGCTCTATCTATTGAAATAAACCTCAAATTTTTATTTTTATTTTTAAAATTTTGGTAGAATTTTTAATTGACTTTTAAGGGGTCTTTTCCATTAGTTTTTAATCTTTTTTTAATTTTTAAAAAATTTATTTTTAAAAAAATTTTTAACTTTGTAAATTATTTTCTTTTGTTTATTTTAAAGCTTTATATGTCTTCTATCTTTGCACAAAATTTTAGAATTTTAGGTTTAATATACTCCAAGTTGTGATAATTAATATAAGGTCAACTCGCCCTCTTCCCTGCTTATGCACTTTTAAATTTTTTATTATAAATCCCAAATAAAAGCTAAAATTAAATAATTTTGTAGATACAATCTCTAAAGTATTAAGTAATAAAATACAAAATTTTAACTTTTTTGGTTCAGTATGTCCCCAGTTATAAACAAAAATTTGAGGAGGGTTACTCATCGTTGCAGCATATTTTATTTATTTTTAAAATCAATTTTTTTTGAAGAATGAAAAAAGAAAGTTTATTACTGAATAGGGGGATAGCTCTAGCTAAGTTTATTTAAAATAAATAACACTTTGAAATTCTATATGTGCAAAAGATATTACTAATCTGTGAAAAATGTTTTTGGAGACACAATGAGCTCTCTCCCTACCAGCTACCCCCATTCTTCCTCCTCCATCTTCTTCCATTTTTCTACTTAATATTTTTAAACTGTTCAGCATTTAATTTTTTCTATTGTTTATTCATTATGCAATTTAATTCTTTATTAATATTCTTTAAATAATTTGTTTAAAAGCCGTTATTTCTAGTTTTGGTATATTTTGTCCATCCTTTTTAAAATTGAAATTATGTTTTTAATTAGGATTTTTAGGATATTTTGGTCAATTTTTTTATTTTCTTGAACATCTTTGAGACAATGAGCTCTCCCAACCATTTTCTGAGCAAGTAGAAATACCATAAAAATACCCTGATTTAAGTGTTTATCACCTTTGGCACGTACGGGGTGTATATTACTGTTCTTGACGTTTTTGATACCTTTTTTGAATTTTTAATTTTTGATTTTTTTACTTTATACATAGCACATATTTATAGTATTATTTACTAAAAAAAAAGAAATTTTTTTGTTAAGCCTAAAAATTATTATTATTATTATTAAACGTTTCCTCCTATTTTCCCCTTCAATAATTCGTTCACTCCAAATAAATAAACACATACAATTCGCGCAACTTGTAGTAGCACAACAAAAGCACTCATCCATCCCCCTCTATACTTAAATTCTTCACTTTATTAAAACTTTTTTGTTGAATTTTGGTGATAGTTGGGGAAATTAATGAGGAAATGCCCTGAGGTGGTTTTCACTTTTTCTCTTATTTTTAAATAATTTTTGGGGAGAATTGTGGATCTATTGAGGTCACTTAACTATTTTTTATTTTTTTTTAAATTTATTTTCTAAATTTTTAAAAATAAAATAATTTCCAAAAATATATTTTATTTATTTTTTTTCATTTTTAAAAAATAATAAATTAAGATTGAAGAGTTTTACCCTAATTTAGTAATATGTATTTTAAATAAATTACCAAAAAATAAAATTTATTTTTGTGTGAACACGGGAACAGCAAGAAAAATAAACGGCCAAGGTCATTTATTTTATATTCTTCCCCCTCTTATTTTTTTTAATTCTCGCAAACTTTATAACAACCATAATAAACTTGATTAAAAATTGCGGATATAAAATGTTTATTTATTTTCTTCAGAAACATTTTCTTCTGATTAATTAAAATTTCAGAATTTTAATTAAAAACTTGTTTCTGATTTTATAAAAAAATTCTGAAAAAATTAAAATCAGAATTTTTTATTTCAATTCTATTTGTATTCTGGTTCTTATTTTTCCGGAAAGTTATAATTTATTTTTATTTAATTTCCGGAAAAAGTTTATTTTCAGAATTTTTTAGAATCAGAATTTTTCAAAATCAGAATTTTAAGTATTTTATTTAAACTTGTTTCTGATTTTATTAAAACTTAAATTTTCTGGTTTTATTTAAAAATCAGAAATAAATCCCTTAATTCTTTTATTGTCTCATCTTTTTTTGTTTGTAATATTTTATATCCATTATTCTTTCTTTTCTCTCTCTATTGTTTTGCGCGAAAATAAACAAAAAACTTTATTTATTTTTTTGTTTATTTTTTTTATTTTGTAAATAAATAAATATTTTTTTAAGTAATTTTAAGTGGTTTTATATAGAGTAAGTAAGTAGATCAGTAAACGCGTCAAAACAAGAAGAAAAATAATTTTTTATTTGTAATTTTTTCTGTCCACTTGGAAATTGAGCTACTTTAACTCAATTTTTAATTTTAGTTAAAATCCAAGTCTTTCAAAATTGACAAAATCAACAATGCCTGAACAATTGGATATATTGACCTCTCAACAACAACAACAACAACAACGGCCACCACCAAAAGTGCCCCCAAAGCCTAAAGTGCCGCCTAAACCGGTGAGAAAGGAATAAAAGAATTTAAAAAGATTAAAGAAAATTTTTTTAAGCCAAGAGAAAAGTTGGAAAATAAACAACAACAACAACAACAACAACAACAACCAATTTTAGAAGCAAAAATAAAAGAAGAAAATAAAGAAGAAAATAATATCAATAATATTAAATCAGAATTATTCAAAAGAGCAAATTCTGTTAGACTACCAAAATCAGAACCTTTTAAAATTACAACTTTACCTTCAACATCAACAACAACTATAATAAAGCCTTCTGCTAGACCGCCGCCTCCACCTCCTAAAGCAATAAAATCAGAATTAATTGAACAGAGGCCGAGGTATGTATAAATCAGAATTATATATTAAAACTTGTTTCAGAATTAAAATCAAACTTCTGATTTTTAAATTTTAGAAAATAATTAAACTCGTTATTTTTAATTAAAACCAGAATTTTTTATTGAAACTTATTTCAGAATCAGAATTAAATTAAAACAGAATCAGAATTTTTTTTCAGAATTTGATTAAAACATTTTCAGAATTTCAGAATTAATTATTTCAGAATTATAATTAAATTTTTTCTGAATTTAAAGCTTAATTAAAACTTGTTTTAAAATCAGAATTAATTTCAGAATTTTGTTTAAAACTTGTTTCAGAATCAATTACGGAATTTGCTTCTTATTTTTAGATTGCCAGAAAACCCCCCACCTCCACCACCAAAACAATTTGTTTACCAACAACCATCCCAAATAACCAACAATAATTTTAATTCTGAAATTTATACTGAAATTGAAGCAAATAATGAACAATCTACAAATAAACCACAAAAATTACAACAAAAAATATTTTTGGAAATAAATAAAAATTTGAGAAGAAGAAGCAATGAAAGGCGAAGAACTACTCAATTTGAGCTTTTTAATGAAGGCAAAATTGTTAAAAAACAAAATGAAGATGATGAAAATTATAATGATATTGAGAATAATGCTTCGGATTTAACGGTGAATTAAAAAAAATTTTTTTAGAGAGGAAAGTGAGCGTGCTAACGCATCTTGCTTTAACTTCAATAACTTTAGAACTAGCAAACTTTTCGAAATTATTTTGATATCAATTGATAGAGCTTTAAATTGGCTACAAAATGCTGCTAAAAGCAAAAATTTATTTAATTGTACAAAAAAGTTATGAGCGAAAACCTATCAAAAATTTCGATTATTGGGTGTTTTTTGATCATATTTTTGACTATTTTTCCTTTACTTTCTTCAGAAAATTCTAATTTTATTTATTTTTTTATTGTAGCTAATTTTCTCCTTTATTTAATTACAATTTTAGAATATCCAAAAAAATTTTTTGGATTTTTATATTTAAAATTTTGTGTTGTTAACACTTTTATTTGTTCTCAACCTCATTTTATTTTTTTAGTTAAAAAATTCAAAATCTACTCGTTTCTCCCACATTCCACGCTCATCAACTACCGATTATAAATGTGAAAATGTATCTACAGCATTAACTAACTCAATTCATGTACTTCCCTCTTGTGCTAGTCAAAGACTGTCTAGGGCTCAAGATTTTGGACGTTTTGGTATTGGAATAAAACAAAATTTGGCTAAAGGGGTAAACAAATGATTTTAAAATAATTTTAAAAATTAAAAAAAATTTTTTAAAGATGTGTAAAATCCGTTCAAGAATGTCTTATCTTTCCTCTGCTTCCTCTTCTCCTTCACCTTCTTTTAAAAACGTGAACAACAAAAGAAATGATTTTAGGTAATTTAAATGTGAATAATTAAATAAAAAAAACTTGTTTCAGAATTTTTTTCAGAATTTTGTTTATTTTTATTAAAACTAGAATATACAACCTTTTTCAGAATTTAATTAAAACATCAGAATTTATTTAAAACATTTTCAGAATTTAATAAAAACATTATCAGAATTTAATTAAAACTTGCTTTCAAACATAAAACTTGCTTCTTTAATTAAAACTTGCTTCTAAACCTTTAAAAAAATTTTTTTTGTAGTACAATGACTTTGGATAGACATCAAAACTTCTCTAATCAATCTAATAGCAACAAAAAACAAAAGCAATTTAAAAGAAATTCAACATTTTATTTGGATGAAAATGAGGAAGAGGAAGGAAACAACAGCAACAAAAATAACAACAACAAAAACAATATTTCACAGCAGGAAAATGAGGAGGAAAGGGAAGAACAATTTTTAGAAGAAAATGACTATTTTGATGATGATTGGTCAAGCAGCACAGATACTAATACCTCTAATTTAGAAAAACAAGAAGAGGAAGACGAAGAAGAATATATGGCTGAAGCAACAACATTTTCTTTTGAAGGTAGGGGGAAATTTTTAAAAAATTATTTTAAACATTAGTTAAAAAATTTATTTTTGGTTGATTTTTAAGTTAGAAAAATTTTAAATTTTTATTTTTTCGAAAAATGAGATTTGTTAGAAGCAATAATTCTCTTAAGTTTTCTATAAAATCTTGTCTTTCTTGCTTCTTAATATTTAAAGATATACTTCTAATTAAAAAAAAATTTGATTTGTTTAAAACTTGTTTAATTTTTATTTCTGGTTTTTAATGTTTATTTCCAGAATTATTTCAGAATTTTCTTATTTTCAGAATTATATTTCTGAGTTATTTCAGAATTTTTATTTTTCTGAATTATTTCTGAATTATTTCAGAATTTTCTTATTTTCAGAATTATATTTCTGAGTTATTTCAGAATTATTTCAGAATTTTCTTATTTTCAGAATTTTTTTCAGAATTTCTATTTTCCAGAATTGTTTCAGAATTCTCTTATTTTCAGAATTTTTTTCAGAATTATTTCAGAATTTTCTTATTTTCAGAATTTCTCATTTCCAGAATTATTTATTTTCAGAATTATTTTAAAACTTGCTTCTAAATTTTCTTGTTTTCCCACAATTTTCTTTTAAATCAAAAATCAGCTTTAGGGTTTAAAATTTTTTTCTAATTTTCTGTCTACTTCCTATTTTTTTCTAAAATATTCTCACCTATTTTTTAATTTCTTTTAATTTTTTTTTCTACCTATCACCTTTCTTAAAAAATTTTATTTTTTTACTTTTTTCTGATATTTTTTAACAAAATTTTCTTTTTGTTTTATATAATTTCTAGAAAGGTTTTTACTAAAATTTTTGTTGTTATTTGCTAAAGCGAGAAAAAAAATCGGAAAATGTTTTTCGATGAGACACAGCTTTTTAAAAAATTGTACTATTTTTGTATTTTGTTAAAGGGAAGGATTGGATTGGCAATGCTTTTATTTATTTTGAAATAAAAAAATATAAGGAAGGCGCGAAAGGCCAATGAATCATAAATAAATATTCAAACTAAAACAAAACACCCTCTAAAAGCAGCGAAGGCTAACAGCAACAATTTTACGGACTTTAACTAGTACATATAAGGCAAATATAAAATATAGTTATTCTGAAATAACTTCAACTTTTCAGAATTTTTATAATAAACTCTTTTCTTCTGATCTTCTGATATTCTAAGACTTGTTTGTTTCTTATTCTGATTTTTTTAAATTTTTTTATTTATCTTTTTGTTCTATTAATTATTCCAACCCGCTAGGACACCAACTTTTATAACTTTTGATTGGATATATATTTCGGATTGTTTTTGATATCATTCGATAGAAAAGAAAATTTACTACAAAATCCCTTTAAAATTATTTTTTGCTTCAAATTACAACAGATTTAAGGCTTAAAAATGATCATTTTTACGCATTTTTGAATGTTTCTTGACCAGAACTTTTTTTTTCTTTATTTAAAATTTAAAAATATTGTCTACTTTGTAGCAAATTTTCTCCTCTATTTATTGATACCAAAATATTTGAAAAAAAATAATTGGTTCAAAAGTTATGATTTTTGGTGTTATGCATGTCTATTACTCTAAAAATTAAATTTATATTCGTTAATAAATTATCCAAAAAATCTTTTTTTTCCTTCTTCAAAAATTGCAACATTTAATCATTTTTCTTTCATTTTTTCCTTCCTTTTCAGATTCATCTCCAGCTGCTCACCACCACCGCCCTTCTTTACAAGAAGAAATACAACTTGCATTAGAACGATTAAAACACGGCGGTGAACCATCATTTATGAAAGAGGAAGAAAAAGTAATGGTGGTGGATGAATCTCAAGAAGGTAAAAGGGGAAAAAATATTTTATAAAAAATTTTTGTTAAATTAAAAAAAAATTCTTTTTTTATGTTTTGTTTTAAATAGGTAATTAACTTTAATTTTCTCGTTATTTTTAATTTATCAGAATGTTATTTTTGTTTCTTTAACTAACTCAAGGGGTGTGGGGAGATAACTCTAAAAGAATCAGAATTTGTATTTCCGGAACAAAAATAACTATCAAAATTATAAAACCAGAATTATATATTTCCGGAAAAAATATAACTATGGAAAATCAGAATTTATTTTTCCGGATAAATATAACTATCAGAATTATAAAATCAGAATTAATTTATACATTCCGGAAAAGATATACCTACTTATATTGACTATTTTCCGGAATAAAAATAAACATTTCCGGAAAACCAGAATTTATTTTCTTGAAGAAAAATACATTTTCATTTCCGGAAAAATATTATTATAATTACTCTTATTTCAGTTATGGAAAACAATCAAACTTCAAAACCAGAAGAAGAAAATAATTATCAAATTGTACTAGACGGACAAACAACAACAAATAATCATTTAAAAAAATTGAAAGAGGATGATTTTGAAGAGCAACAACTTTCTTCAAAATTTGCTTCTTTATATTCTAAATTACCCGATCAACAACCTCTTTATCAAATTTATTTATTACAAGAACAACAAAGAATTAATGATTCTTTGGAACCTATCGAAGAAATTTTAAATATTGGGAAGAAAAAAATGTTGTTAAAAAGAAAAGAAGGAGAGGGTGAAATTGATGAAGAGGATGGAGAAGGTGAAAAGAGGAGTGAAGAGGAGGAAGAAGAAAAGGATGAAATAGATAGGTGAGTTTGTTTAAACTAAAATTCCGGAAAATATTAATATTTCCGGAAAAAACAGAATTTATACTTCCAGAAGAAAATACGTTTTTATTTTCCGGAATAAAAATAAATTTTTCTGGGAAATCAGAATTTACATTTCCGGAGGAATCAGAATCTATATTTACGGAAGAATCATAATTTATATTTTCCGGAATAAAAAAATATAAATATTCTCGAAAAATTAGAATTTCCATGTTAACCTTTTGAATAATTTTCAACCAAAATTTTATTATCTTAAAAAATTTTTTTTAGTGGTTGTCCAGAATCGGATGAACAACAACAACACCCTTCAGATCCAACTAGTATTAGTAGAAGTTGTTCTGCCAGTAATTCCTCAGCAGTTATTCGAAGACATTCCTCTTCTACAACAGATTCGGGAAGAGGTAAATTTTAATCATTTTTACAAAAATTTAATAAATTTTTAGCTGATTCACTTATCATTCGACCTTTAAAACGTGAACGTCTTCTAGGCCACAGTATTTTCGCTTCACAACGCTCGTTATGGTGTGAATTGCCAGGTACTTAAATGTTTAGAGAAAAATCAGAATTTTATACTTCCTGAAAGAATAAATTAATTGTTTTCGGAAAAATCAGAATTTATATTTCCGGAAATGTAATATAAAACTTTCCGGAAAAATCAGAATTTATAAAACATGATTTTGTATTTTCCGGAAAATATTTTATTTCCGGAAAAATATAAATTTATAATTTTCCGGAAAGTCTAAGTTCTCTATTTCTGGTAATTATATTTCTTCCGGAAAGTTAACTTATGTCCGGAATAATTAAACATATTTTTCCGGAAAAATTAAATATATATTTATTTATTCCTAAAATATAACTATAAAATATAAAATCAGAACTTTTTTTAGAAGTGAAAGAATCGGGTATTCTAGAACAACTGAACGATGATCAGAGAAAACTACAAGAAGCATATTTTGAGGTTAAAAATATATTTATAAAAATATTTTCTAAATTCTTTTAGGTAATTACATCAGAAGCTTCCTATTTGCGCTCTGTTCGTTTCTTAATTTTCTTTAAAATATTTTTAATTTTTTTACAGATTTCTTTTCTGATTTCACATTTTATGTCAGCACCAGAATTAATGGGAAGCAAGAATACACAATCTGTGATAACGGTAAAATTTATTTTTTAAATGAATTTTAATTTTGTTTTATTTTTAGAGTTCTGAAAGGAAACAATTATTTAGGTGAATGTTCTATTTATTTTAAAGTTTATATTTTTCCGGTAATTATAAATTCTTTATTTTTCCCGAAAATGTCTATATTTTCCTGAAAATATAAAATTACATATATTTTCCGGAAAATGTTTATTTCAGGAAAAAATTAAAAATTATTTATTTTCCGGAAATTATAAATTCTCTATTTTTCCGGAAAATGTTTATATTTTCCAGAAAAAGTATAAATTCCTTTATTTTTCTGATAATTAAATATTTCTTTTTTTTCTGTAGCAATATTTTGGCAATTCGTGATTGTAGCGAACACTTACTCGTAGAATTAGAAACTCGTTTAAAACAAGGATTAGTATTACCCGATATTTGCGATATTCTTTGTGCTCATTTTGAAACACAATTTGAACCTTATATTAATTACTGCTCTAATCAAGAATATCAAGACAGAACACTTAAAAAATTAAGAACGGAAAATGGATTATTCAATTCTTGTATTCAACGATTGGAGAAGGACCGGGAATGTCATGGTTTGGATATTCGTTCATTTTTGATGTTGCCAATGCAAAGAATTACTCGTTACCCGTTGTTGATTGATGCTATATTGCAATGGCTACATCAAGACCAACATCAACATTCGGTAAGGAAAATAAAAAGAAAGAAAAATACAGAAATCAGAACGAACCAGAATTTATAAAAATATGAATTTGTATTTTCCGGAAAAATATTAATTTTGTATTTCTGTTAATTAAAATTATATTTCTTCCGGAAAATTATATCTTTATAGTTATACTTTTTCCGGAGAGTTAAACTTCTTCCGGAAAATATAAATTTAAATTAAATCAGAATTTAGAAAAAATACAAAAATTAAAATACAGAAACCAGAACTAGACAGAAATACAAAAAATCAGAATATTTAAATACAGACAGACATCAGAAGAATATACAAAACACAGAAACCAGAATTTTTTAAAAAATACAAAAATCAGAATAAATTAAAAATACAAAAATCAGAATTAAATAAAATGCAAAAATCAGAATTAAATAAAATACATAAATCAGAATTAAATTAAAAATACAAAAATCATAATTAATTTTATTTATTTTTATTTAGTTAGCAACCAGAGCTTTAACACTAGCAAATCAAGCAGTACATAATTGTAATGAAGGTGCTAGAAGGATGGAACATACAGAGAAAATGTTGGATATTGAATCCCGTTTAATTTATAAATGCAAAGATTTGAAGAGAATTGCTTTAGTAACTAGTGGAAGGTATGTAGTGAAAAGTGGACAATTAATTCAGTTGGCTGAAAAAAGAAATGGGGAATCTAAAACAAAATTGGCTTTGGCTGCTAGAAGTGGTGGAATGAAGGTAAACAATAAATTAATTAATTAAAAATCAGAATTAAAAAAACAGAATTTAATTAAAAATCAGAATTTTAAAAATCAGAAAATACACAATAACAAACTTTTCAGTCAGTCTCGAGGCCATATTTTGGGGCATAATTTTTTTGAGTCTTAACCGATTTAAATAAATATTATACCAATCGAAAGCTATGAATGTGAGGATTATTTTACTTAACAGGATTGATATGATCATATCATTCTGCTCAAAGTTACACCTTGATAAGCGCGCGCAATCGTGATTTTTGATCTTTATTAGGCTTTAACCTTAGGTAGGACGGTCTGATCAACTCAATCCTGCTAGATAAAATAATCCTAGAAAAATAATCACCACATTAAGAGCTTTCGATTGGTATATAAATCATATGAAACGATTAAATTTAAAATAAGTTATGCCCCATTAAATAACGAAAATCACGATTTTCCGCACTTATCAGATGATAACTTGTTATGGAATGTTTGGATCTTATCAGTCCCTTTGCGAAAAAGAATCCACATATCAATAGCTTTTGATTGGTATAATATTCATTTAAATCGGTTAAGATTCAAAAAAGTTATGGCCCAAAAATATAGCCTCAAATCCTCCCCCAAAATTAATTTTTTTATTTTAAAGGCTCGCCCCCTCGCATTTTTTCTCTTCAATGATCTCCTATTAATTACAAAACGTCGTTTAAATGGACAATTTGTTTGTAAAGATTATGCTTATCGTCGTTTTGTTGTTTTTGAACCTTTAGAATTAAACAATTTACGCGTTCCTCCAGGGGTAACTTCAGCTTTGGGAAGTGGAAGAAATGCTCATTTACTTTCTTGTGTTTTATTCCAAAATGCGAGAGGGAGACAAGTTGAGCTACTCTTGAGTGCTGAAAATGAAAGTGATCGGGAACGTTGGTTAACTGCTATGAGGCCACCTACTGTAAGTTTTAAAAAACCTTGGATTTCGCTTAAAGATCCTCCCAATACTGGGTACCCTCTCGATCGAACCAGGCAGCTTTGATCGACCGCAACTTTTTTATACATGATCCGATCTGAACAAACCTTATATCATTCGATAGCCCTTGATTAGCGCTATAATTTTCCCAATGGGGTGGATTAAGTCTGATCACTCATTAAAAAGTTATAGGTCTTTAAGTGCAGCCCTCTCAATCAAAAACAGGCCAACTAAGAATTTTTGATTGACCACTACTTTTTTAGCCTTGAGTCATCCGGGTTTATCTTTTATCATTCGATAGCCCTTGATTAGCGCTATCTTTTTCCCAATAGGGTGGATCAAGTCTGATCACTCATTAAAAAGTTACAGCTCTTTAAATACAATTATTCGGTGTTTTTCGCTGTTATCGGGCTATAACTTTTTAGTGAGTGATCAGACTTGATCCATCCTATTGGAAAAAAGATAGCGCTACTCAAGAGCTTTCAAATGATATAAGACACACCTGGATTGGATCAAGACAAAGAAAGTTATGTTCGATTATAGCCGATCGATTTGAGATACTTTTTTGAATGTTGGCTGGTATGGGAGCTTCCTTTCTCTATTTAAGCTAAACCGTATTATAGAGAGAGAGCTTTTTAGCCTTATAGAGGCATCTAAAAACAGGCTCGTTTGTATATTAAATTTAAAAATATTTTTTTCAGTGCGCTAACCCCGACGAGAAAATTTATGAAGAATGGGACTGCCCTCAAGCTGTAGCTGTACACAATTATGTGCCTACTGAAGAAGACCAACTTGGTCTGTCGCCCGGCGATGTAGTCAACGTTTTGAGGAAATTAGCGGATGGTTGGTATTATGGAGAGAGAATTCGTGATAAACGTGGGGGCTGGTTTCCATCTTCTTATGTGCAGCAATTAATGAATGATCATGTGAGGGCACAAAAATATAAACAACGATTTAGAGTATTACAGGTGTGGATATTGAGAGTTATTTTATTAAAAGAAAAATACAAAAAAAATTAATTTAAAATTTATGGAGAATGAAGGGATTACTCCCTAAGTTGTAGCCGTGCAGCAGCACGCTCAGTTAATTTGACCATAACTTTCTTATTTTTCATTTTCTTCAAATAATTCTCATAACATTCGAAAGCTCTCAAGATTCTGCACCTTTTTCATAACTGGACCTATCTAATCTGAACATCCAAAAAGAAGTTACAGCTATAAAATTGCTTTTTTTCTGCCTGAAGGTATATCACCTATATCTTTTTGTGAGATGTTTAGATCGGATTAGTCTAATTATAAAAAAGATGCGCCATCACGAGACCTTCAGAATGATATATAAATTTCTTTGCAATATTAATGTAACAAAAAGTTATGGCCATAAAACGCTATTCCGTTGACGATACTCAAACGTCCCCTCTACCCGTTTTACGAGATTGAAAGTAATAACGTCTACAAAGATAGAGACAATAAAGAAAGAAATTAGACAACAAAATTAAATAGTAAAAATAGTGGTTAGAGAACATAAATAAATGCTCGCGGTTTCGGTCGGTTCAGTGCCACAGTTCAGAGCAAAATGGTTACTGTATCTGAAGGGGGAAACTCAATTATTAGAATTTAAAAATCAGAATAATAAATCAGAATTAATTAAAAAATCAGAATTAATAAATCAGAATGAAACTTTTTAATAAATATATTCTATTTTTTAAGTCAGTATCAGAATATCGCTCTTCAATGCATTTCCCTCGTGGTAAAAGGAGTTCATTAGCAACAATATTGCCGTCTTTCGTTACATCATCCTCTTCCAGTAATTCTTCAAATATTTCACTTCTTGGTTCTTCAACAACTTCAGGAACAACAGCAACAACACATTTACGAAGATTAAGCAATCCTAGAGCCTATTTCAGTTGATAATTATTTTGTTATTTTGTAAAATTTTCCAGTTTTTTTTAAATCACGATAAATACTTTATTCTTTTCTAGTTTATAAAATTTTACTCTTAAAAGTCTTGAAAAACATCCAAAAAAATGTTTCGTTTAATCGCAAAAAAAATCAAAAACGAATTTTTATTACGTGGGAAATTCGAAATTTTATTCAATTTAAAAATTTGCCAAAATTTGGCGTAATGTCTCTTGCGCCAAATAAATGACAGTTTATCCCAAAAATTAATTCTTTTGAGAAGTGGACACTTGAGTCTGAAGTCTGAAAATTGAAGTAATTATATAGGTCGGTTGGGTGTGGCAGTTGAGTGTGATGAGGGAAATTTTTAAAAATTTTTTATTTAAAAAAAAATCGATATCAATCAATAAAATCGATATTAATCGATAATTATTTTTAAGAATAGTTCTTAAATATTTGTATTTTCAAAAAATCGATATCAATCGATAAAATCGATACAAATCCATAAATTACTTAGAGAAATTTTATATTTTCCAAAAAAATCGATAAAATCGATATCGATCGATAATTATTTTTAAAAATATTTACAATTTCCAAAGATCAATAAAATCAATACTAATCGATAATTTATTTGAAGGAATTCTTAATTTTCACAAAAATAGGTTTTTGATTTTTGCCATTCCGCTCTCAAAATAAGCACCGAACTGGCCATAACAGTTAATATTTATTTTTTTCTCTAACTACACTATTTCTCTTTTATAATTTCTCAATTTTTAATTTTTGCCATTCCGCTCTCAAAATGAGCACCGAACCGGCCATAGTTACTTATATTTACTTTTTTCTCTAATTACACTATTTCATTTTTTTAATTTCTCTAAACTACAGGGAATCAATTAATCGAGATTCTTATTAAAGAGCATCACAGTTAAGACAGGACGGTTGAGTCCTGACTAAATTTCTTGTCTAAATTTCTATAGAACACAATAAAAACAAAGCCAAAACATTTTATATAAAAAAGAAAAAAAAAAGAAAAAAAAACAAAAAAAAATTAAAAAAAAAGAAAAAAAGAATTGTTGTAGAAGCACCACCTCTCCATCAAATGTCTATCTTGTTGTTGCTTTTCCTGTTGATGTTGTTTTGCTGGGAATTGTTCAAGTCTGAAAGAAAAAAAAAGAATTTTGCGTGATTTTGGACCCCATTTCAAGCTCAAAATCTCAGTAAATTTATGATCATAGGGGTAGATGGGGGGGGGGGATTACACAAATTATCCACCATACTTTTACCTAAAGTATAAAGAGGCATCCTACAAAGTCCAAAGAAATCAGCCTGTTATAAATAGAACAAAGTTTTAAATGTTCTTTGTGGAAAACGAGTATGTTCCCGAGGAATTTAGACGATGTTGGGACAACGAAAATAAAAAACGGATAAACTCAATTGTATCAGTAATCTGAAAGTCCCAAATTATTCAGAAATCCACCCAAAAACCCCCTCAACTAAAAATAAATAAACTAACATTGTCTCAATCACGACTTCCTTCCCTTCCAAAAATTCACAACCAAAAGCTGCCCAATGACGTTTGTCTCGGCCAGGAACGTCCAACCAAGGAGTGTTGTTCATCCGCAGTTGAACATGTTAAAAAATTTTTTAAAAAGAATTCTTAAAATTCTTAAATAACCTTTCAAGCCAAGTTTTCAGGAGCATTTGTAGGCCATAGCAACAGCAAAAATTGTCCAAGGGGTTGTCGACATCAATTGGGCTCAAATCTAAAAGAAAATAATTGTTTGATGAAAAATAAAAAAGGAAACACCTCAATGTATTGAACCCGTGCCCACTCTCATATAATCGGCAACGCTACCAACTTAACCAACTGTCATTACGAACGGTCTTCAAATTTTTTTCTCTATACACAAATGTGAATTTTGAATTTGGGGGATCTAATTCTAGTTATTAAACTCAAAAATCCCGAAAAAGAACTAAAAACCTTTCAAACTTCATAAACTGCACATCTCCAAGGCAAGCACATGCAACCAAACAATTATCTTCTTGTTGAAGCGATGCACTTTGCCATTTGTCATCCGTGTTGTGGAATGTTGTAATTCAAACGTTCAGCCATTTCCTAAAAAAACAAATTTTATTTCATCCAGACAAAAAAGAAAAACCTGAACGAACTCTGCAGCCTCTCTTCTATACTTAAGTTTAGCAGCTGAATCGATTGACATTCTTGATGGAAGCATAGCAAGCTCATCTTCCGCAAAATACCATTTTGGTTTCTTTCCAAGTTTGCTAGATGATGGAACTGGTTCTGTCATCTTTCAAGATCCATACTGAAAACTCTAAAAATGTTTAAAACCCCTTCCCTCTACCAGACAATTGCTAAACACAATTTCTAATCGAATTTGGAAGAGGATTAATCACAGATGAAATCAGGGATTGTTTGTGGACAAAACTTGCTTGTGTAAAAAAGGGCAAAAACAAACCTTTTAATTTTTAAAAAGATTCCATGGACGTCCAAAAGTGCTTTGCTGATTTTTTTGCTTCTTCTTTGTTCTTGTTCTTCTTTTTGTTGATTTTTTTGTTTTTTTTGTTCTTCTTCTGTTGAGTTTTGGTTCTTCTTTTTGCTGATTTCTTCTTTTTGCTGATTTCTTCTTTGTTCTTTTTGATTTTTTGTTCTTCTTTTTGTTGATTTTTGAGTTTCTTCTTTTTTTTGTGTTTCTTCTTTGTTTGTTGCTGCTGGACAATTCTTAGAGGCATGGCACTAAATAAGTTAAATGAGTTTGTTTAGGCAGAGTTATAAACTAACCATAAAGCTGATGAGCAGTTATCAAAGTACCATAAAAGCAACAAGTCCCATGAGAATGCCAAACAGACCGCGCGACCCCACACAGAAGGAAGAACTCCAAACACTGCCAGGAGAATTCCATACAACAGCCGTTAGAACTGAAACAAAGCCAGACTCCAAACAAATGCCAGAAGAACTCCTACAAATGCCGAAGCAAATGCTAGAACATTCCCCCAACATCTGACGGAACATCCTTACATTGTCGCAGTTCTTTCGCACAGATGCTGGGTTATTCCCCCGAACATTGCCGGAACATTCCCCCACATAAACAGATGAAGAACTCCAAACACTGCCAGGAGAATTCCATACACCAGCCGTTAGAACTCCAACAAAGCCAGACTCCAAACAAATGCCAGAAGAACTCCTACAAATGCCGAAGCAAATGCTAGAACATTCCCCCAACATCTGACGGAACATCCTTACATTGTCGCAGTTCTTTCGCACAGATGCTGGGTTATTCCCCCGAACATTGCCGGAACATTCCCCCACATAAACAGATGAAGAACTCCAAACACTGCCAGGAGAATTCCATACACCAGCCGTTAGAACTGCAACAAAGCCAGACTCCAAACAAATGCCAGAAGAACTCCTACAAATGCCGAAGCAAATGCTAGAACATTCCCCCAACATCTGACGGAACATCCTTACATTGTCGCAGTTCTTTCGCACAGATGCTGGGTTATTCCCCCGAACATTGCCGGAACATTCCTCCACAAAACTAAAACCCGCGCAACACGCCTAAAGGACGCACGCAAGGACTTGTGCTTATGATGTTGGAGAAAAGAGCTCCACATCCGCCTCTACTGCTAAAAATATGATTTCATTTCAAAGTTAAAGAAAACTGAAACTAACGTTTTGAAACAAAACCAGATTGAAGAAGTCCAGATGCAGCAGCTTATTTGGTTGCAAAGCATACAAAGCACTGAATGAAAAAAAATAAAGAATGTTGTTGGATTACAACACAGCAAGTTTTGTCCACAAAATGGGAAAAGAGAGAGAGGGGGGAGTGAAGGGCAACTAAGATTGTGCCAAAAACAAGCCAATTGTGTTTGAAGAGACCACCATCATCATCGGTTATCTAACAGTTCTATAAAAATAAATAGGAGGCAAATTAATTAGTTGAATAAAAATTTAGGGCATTTTTCACCCGTGGCGTAACTGGTAGAGCGTTAGGCCCATTTGTTAAGAAAGGGAGTTCGAACTCCAACGGAAAACCAGTACAATAATCGAAAACTTTTCTCATACCCAAAAAATAGATGAAAACTCTAACTTGAGAGGACACACACGAAGGTAAAAATCCCCAATATAATCTAACCAAACAAATTTAAAAAAAACTAACTTGTTCAGCTTCAATAACCAATCCCTTCTCTTTCAAAGCATTAGCCAAATTGCAATAAGCGTCAGGAAAATTTTGTTGTAGTTCAATTGCCCTCTTGTATGTTTCTATCGCCAAATCCAAATGTCCTTGTTCGTAATAAACGCAAGCCAAGTTTCCATGTACGACTGCGTGGTTGGGATTTAATGCTAATGCACGGAGATAGCAAGAGACAGCTCTAAAAAATTGAAAAATATAAAAAATGAAACGGAATTGGGAAGAATGAGTCATGTTTTCATTTTTGATGGGCCTAACCAAGGTTGAGCGCTATTATCAAAAATCCCGTTCATAACCCCGTTCAGTGAAATTTTAAATAGTTCTTCAGGTGTGTTGGCAAAAGGAAAGATTGGTGACCAAGGTTTTAAAACTTTTCGCCGATTCGCTCTGTGTAGGCCAGACAGAACTCAATGCCCCCAACCGGTTAACATTGGAAAAATAAACAATAATCAAACCTATCAAATATTCTTGCTTCCTTCAACATTTCCCATATTGATCAAAGCATCAATAAAATTTGGATCAAGCGTAATTGCCTTTTCAAAGTGGTGCAATGCTAACCAAAGTCCTAAATCGCTTCGAACACAGTAAAGGTCCTAAATTAGGTAAAAGGAAAAATAAAAATATTCTAATAAAAAACTAACCGGATTGTATTGAAGAGCAGTCAAATATGCTTGAATTGCCTGTTCAAGATCGCCAACATAAACTAGAGCAGATGCCAAATTTATGTATCCATCGATGAAATCAGGTTTTAATCGCACAGCAATATGGTAATTTTTGAGAGCTTCAGTTAAATCACCCTTC